TTTGTAGCCACCTCTCAGTATATTTTGGTATTAAGCCAATTCCTCATGCCCTGACCACTGTCTGAACTCTTTTATATAACTTCCTATTGAAGGCATTCTGATAGCCCATGTGTTCCACATTGACTGTATTGCCTTTGTCTGCTCTTTTGGTAACTTATTCAATAATTCAATCAAATGTGTAAACATAATCTTCTTTGTAGAAATTCATATTAACAGCAACATCAATCACCATATTCAGAAGAGAAGAAATGATTAAAAAAGGATTTTCAAGTTGAGCCACAAGCAATTTTATATCTGTCTACAGTTAGGCAGAATATTTTATGAAATCGCATGTAAATCACAATCCCTCAAACAAAAAAGCATTTCCATAATATTGCAGTAAAGTGCTCAAATCTTGGAGTGAGGTTTCTGCATCCAACTGTTCATTTTGATGAGAGTGTTATTGATTGAACGAAGCTGACAGTTTACACAAACGTTTTTCAATAAAATATGTTTTCTTCACCTGCTCCAACCATTATGTGATACTCAAGTTCTGTGAGATACAAAACATGTATTTGCAATTTCCAAAGACAGTGATTCATAGTGAGATTTATGTACATATATATACTCATGGGATGTGGGCATTTCTGGCTAGTCCAGCATTTATAGCCTGTCCCTAGTTGCCCTTCAGGAGGTGGTGGCGAGTCACCTCCTTGAACCACTGAAATCCGTGTGCTGTAGATAGACCAACAATGCCCTTAGGGAGGAAATTCCAGGATTTTGACCCAGCAACAATGAAGGAATGACAATATAATTCCAAGTCAGGATGGTGAATGACTTGGAGGGAAACTTGCAGGCGGTGGCGTTCCCATATGTCTGCTGCCCTTGTCCTTCTGGATGGAAGTGGTCGAGGGCTTGGAAGGTGCTGTCCAATGATGTTTGGTGAATTTCTGCGGTGCGTCTTGTTGGTAGTGCTGCAACCGAGCATCACTGGTGGAGTGAGTGGATGCTTACGGATGTGGTATCAATCAAGCGGGCTGCTTTGTTCTGGATGGTGCCAAGCTTCCTGAGTGTTGTTGGAGCTGCACCCATCCAGGCAAGTGAGGAGTATTCCACCACATTCCTGACTTGTGCCTTGTAGGTGGTAGGCAGACGTTTTGGAGTCAGGAGATGAGTTACTTGCCAGAGTATTCCCAGCCTCCTTTTTTAACCATTGTATTGAAATGTATAGCTCCACAAGCCATGTAGAAGTTGCTCTGGGAATCCTCACCATTGACTCTGGGTGCCATGGAGTCTCATGGCATCAGATCAAATACAAGCAAGGAAACGTTCTGCTGATTCTCTTCTACCACCCTCCATGAACTGATAAAATCAGCTCCGTATTGAACATCACTTGGAAGAAGCACAGAGTAGCAAAAGCATAAAATGTACTCTGGGTGTGGAACCTCAATGTTCATCACTAAGTATGGCTTAATGGCACCACTGTTGACTGATTGGCCGAGTCTGGAAGGGTGCAACTGCCGTACTAGATTTTTGGCAGATAGTGAGGGAACCAATAAGAGAGAAAAACCTAAACTTATCCTCATAAGCCAACCTGATGCCTTTTCATCTACCCATGACAGTGTTGTTAGAGTGACCATCACAGAGCTCTTGTGGAGATAAAGGTCACACTTCACACTAAGGATACATCCATGTGTGGCACTACCATCATTCTGAATGGAGTCGATTTATAACACATACTCAGTTAAAATCTGGACACCTATGAGGTGTTATGGGCTGTGATGAGACTGCAGCAGAACTGTATTTAACCACAATCTGTAACATCTGGGTCTGCCACATCCTCACTCTACCATTATGATTAAGTTGGAAAATCTGTTGTAAGCAT